GTGTATCTATTTTTGGTTTGTGGTTACCGTATGATTCATATATAGCAATCTGTATATATTTATATGATTATTTAAAGTTGCTGATGCATTTTAACAACCCTGCATTTGTATTTTCCTCCTCTTATCATTACTGGTTTTGACCTTGTATTTTACATCTACTTGTTTTGTGTAGCTCTTAACTGATTATTGTGGATACAGATAATTTTACTCCTTTTTGTCTTTTAACTTTCATACTAGCTTTGTATGTGGTTAATTTACTTCCTTTACTCTATATTCGCCTTTACCAATGAGCTTTTTCCTTTCACAATTTTCATGTTTCTAGTAGTGGCCTCTTGTTTTTCACTTGGAGAAGTTTCTTTAATATTTTTGTAAAGCAGGTTTGGTGGTACTAAAGCTTTAACTTACCTGTAAAACTTTTGATCTCTCCATCAAATCTCAATGAAACCCTTCCCAGGTTGAGTATTCTTGGTTGTAGGTTTTTCCCTTTCATCACTCTAAATATATCATGATTCTCCCTTCTGGCCTGCAGAGTTTCTGCTGAAAAGCCAGCTGATAGTCTTATGGGAGTTCCTTGTACTCAATGTGTTGCTTTTTCCTTGCTGCTTTTAATCTCTCTTTACCTCTAATTTTTGCCATTTTAATTACAGTGCTTCTTGGTGTGGTCCTCTTTGGGTCAATCCTGCTTCGGACTCCCTATGATTCCTGGATTTGGATGTCTATTTCTGTTCCCAGGTTAGGGAAGTTTTCAGCTATTATGCCTTCAAATATGTTTACTGCCCCTTTCTCTCTCTCTTCTCTTTTTGGGACTTCTATAAGTGAATGTTAGTATGTTTTATGTTGTCCCAGAGTTGTCCTAAACTGTCCTTATTTCTTTTTATTCTTTTTCCTTTTTTCTGTTCAGCATTAGTGATTTCCGCTAGTCTGTCTTTCATTTCACTGGTCCATTCCTCTGTATCATTTAATCTACTATTGATTCCTTCTAGTGTAATTTTCATTTCAGTTATTGTGTTTTTCATATCTGGTTCTTCCTATTTTATACCTCTTTGTTAAAAGCATCTAACTTCTTGTGCTATTTATCCATTCTTCTCTGGAGTTCTTTGATCATTGTTACAGTCATTACTTTGAACTCTTTCTTGGGTAGATTGCCTATCTCCACTTCATTTAGTTCTTTTCCTGGGGTTTTATCTTGTTTCTTTGTGTGGGACACATGGCTCTCTAGCCTCATTTTTGCCTTATTTGCTGACTTTATTTCTATGTATCTGGTAGGTTGTTTAAGTTTCCTAATATTGGAGAAGTGGCCTTTTATTGGAGACATCCTATGTGTTCCTGTAGCACACTCCTCTCTGGTCACCAGAGCTTATATGCTCTAGGGCTGCCCCTTATGTGAGCTGCATGAGTCCTTCTTTTGTGGTGGACTGACTACTGTGGGTGGCCTGGTAGTCATGGCTGGCCCCCAGTTCAGTTTGTTGCCAGGCCCTGCCTTGTGTGGAGGCTGTTAGCCACTGGTTTATGGGGCTAGGTTATGACTTGGCTGGCTTTGCAGTGGGTCCCAGGTCTAGTGCTGGCTCACTGGTAGAACTGGCAGAGCTGGTTGGGTTCCAGGGTTGGTGGTTGCAGGGTTGGGGTTCCCGGATCTACTGTTGGGCTTCTGGTGGGTGGGACTGATTCCTGACATGGCTGGCTGCAGGTCCTGTGGTGTCCCAAAGCGAGTGCTGGCCCACTGGTGAATGGGGCTGGATCCTGGCGTGGCTGGCTAAAGTGACTAAGGTGTCTCATAACTGCTGATGCCATGATGGTGGGTGGGTCCAGGGCCCATGGGTTCCCAAGACTAGTGCTGACTCACTGGTGAGTGGACCCATTTCCTGGGGACTCTGGCTAGAGCACCCTGGGAATCCCGAAGCTTGTTATAGCTCGCTGGTGCATAGGGCTGGAATCCAGGGCCATTGGCTGAGGGTCACATAGTGTCCCAGAGCTGGAGCTGGCCTGTTGCTGGGCTGAGCCAGAGCCTGGGCAGTTTTGGGACTGTTGCCAGCCTGCTGGTACATTGGCTGGGTCCTTACAAGGAAGGCTGTGGGCTGTGGTGGACCTGGGACCAGTGGCTGGTGGGTGGGGGTGGGGCCCAGGAGATCCTAGAACTGGTACCTGCCCACCAGTAGGTCCAGTAGGTGAAACCAGGTCCTGGGGTTAGTGCCAGCCTACTGGTGTGCAGAACTGGGATCTGTGGTCTCTGACTGTGGTCCCAGAGCTGGTGTTGAACTGCTGGTAGGTGGGGCCAGGTCCTTACACAGCTGCCTGTGGGGTCTGGGTTGTCCTGAAGCTTGTGTTGACTAGCTGGTGAGTGGGGCCAGATCCACTGAGGTTGGCTGAGAGGCTCAATTTCAGAGCTGATGCTGGCCTGCTGGTGGGTGGGGCTGGAGCCCAGTGGTTCCTGGGGCGGGTGCCAGCCTGTTGATGGGTAGGCTGTGTCCTGACATGGCAGGCTGTGGACCTGCAGTTGTTATAGGGCTGGTGTCCACCCACTGGTGGGTGAGGCTGGGTCCTAGGGTCTCTGGCCACAAGGACCCTGGGAGTCCCAAGTCTAGTGACTACACCATGTGTGGTGCTGGGTCCTGGGCCCTCTGCCATACAGGGCTGTGTCCAGGGTTATCTTTGGCTTTAGAAGGTCTTAAGGCAGCCTGCTGGTGGGTAGAGCTGTGCTCAGTACTGGTGCCTACAGGCTGGTGAGTAGGTGCAGGCTTAGGTCCTGAGGCTAAAAAGCTAATGGGGGGAATTCCAAAATGGCGCTTGCCAGCACCAATGTCCACATGATAGAAGGATCTCCCCAAAATGGCTGCCGCCAGTGTCTTTGTCCTCAGGATGAGCTCCAGTTGCTTCCTACCTCTCTGGGAGACTCTCCAAGATCAGTACGTGGGTCACCCAGGCTCCTTTCAAATTACTGCTTCTGCTCTGGGTCCTGGAGCATGTGAGACTTTGTGTGCACCCTTTAAGAGTGGAGTCTCTATTTCCTAGAGTCCCACTGGCCTTCAAAGCCAAACATTCTGGGTGCTCACTCTCCTGGCACAGGACCCCCAGGCTGGGGAGTTCAATGTGGGGCTCAGACCCCTCACTCCTTGGAGAGAACCTGTGCAATTGTAGTTACTCTTCCATTTGTGGGAGTCACCACGCAGGAGTATGGGTCTTCGATTTACCTTGACTCTGCCCCTCCTAGCCATCTTGTTGTGATGCCTTCTTTATATCTTTAGTTGTAGAAGCTCTTTTCTAGTAGGTTCTGGTCATCCTCATCAATTAGTTTCTCTGTAAATAGTTATAATTTTGATGTCCCGTGAGAAGAGGTAAGCTCAGGGTCTTCCTACTCTGCCATCTCCTATACTCAGTAACATCATCAGTTCTGAAGTAAATTACTGACATCAACATGTGATTTTTGCTCTGCGCACCCATCTATCTAGTATAAGGACAACTCAGTAGAGATGGCATGACAGACTATTTCTTTGGCATTTGTTTTCAGTGCCTTGAAAATATTCCCTGTAAAATCTGGCCTTTACTTATTCTCTCTGCTCCCACCTCTCCTCACCATCCCACCCTCCTCACTCCAGAGGGAAGGGTCATCAGAATACCACCAACTGGGACAGATTGTAGCACATCTAAAACATCTGTTATTCATCCTGCAGGTAATTTTGCCTCTGACATTCATAACAAAGCTATATCACAAGCAAAAACGATTGTCACTATAGAAACATGGAGGTTTCATCTAGATACACTGATCCTTCTGGATCGTGGGGAAATGTGCACTGACCAGTAGGACCAGAAAGTTCACAGTGAGGGGCGGCGCTGCTCCAAACCCCATCCCTTGACTGTCACTTGTGCAGTGGGTGGTGCTGTCCCCAGTGAGGCTGAAGGTCATCTCTCTGTCTTGGAGGGGGAGGTCACATTTGTAAGATAAAGTTGCCCTCAGTATCCACATGGGATTGGTTCCAGAATCCCCAGGGATTCCAAAGTCCATGGATGCTCAAGTCCCTTATATAAATTGGCTTAACGTAGTATTTGCATATAACCTAAGTACCCCCTCCTGTATACTTTAAGTCATCTCTAGATTACTTATAATAGCTAATACAATGTAAATACCATGTAAATAGTTGCTAGCATGGGGAAAATTTAAGTTTTACTTTTCAGTAAAAAAAGTTAGTTGAATCCTCAGTTGATTAAATCCACGGATGCAGACCTGTAGATACAGTTGGTCCACTGTACTTCTTTTCCATAGCGAATGTCTCCAGATGAGGGCCTCAGTACATCAAACAATGATTGACTCCTCGTATCTGGACTCTTAACTGTGTGTTTATGTTTCTCCAAAGTTTACCTAACTTATTTTCAGCTTTTTGTGTTTCAGGAAGGTCAAGTTTACTGTATATATGAATTTTATACGTATCGAGTGTTCTTAAAAGTTCCATCATAATCCCATAAGATGTCCAAATAGATTTCCAGTAAAGTACTTTAATGAAATCCAAAATAAAACATTTTCTAATCATCAGGAAGGGATTTTAAAAATCTTGCCTTGCTTTAGTAAACAGAGTAGGATACATCAGTAATGTCTTCGTATATAAAATATTTTTAACTATATTAATTTCTGAGTCTTTGGTATGTTTTGTTTAAACAAGTCATTCGGAAATTTAAGGCACTTCACCTCAACATTTCAAATATTGACTCACCTCCCTGAACCATACTAATTTATCATATAAATCTGTTTTTGTTCTCTATAGCACATCCCTTTTTTTTTTTGGCTGTGTTGGGTCTTCGTTGCTTCATGCAGGCTTTCTCTAGTTGTGGTGAGTGGGGGCTACTCTTCGTTGTAGTGCACAGGCTTCTCATTGTGGTGGCTTCTCTTGTTGCAGAGGAAGGGGTCTAGTTGCATGGGCTTCAGTAGTTGCGGCTTGTGGGCTCAGTAGTTGTGACTTGTGGGCTCTAGAGCACAGGCTCAGTAGTTGTGGCGCACGGCTTAGTTGCTCCGCAGCACGTGGGATCTTCCCGGACCAGGGCTCGAACCTGTGTCCCCTGCATTGGCAGGCAGATTGTTAACCACTGCACAACCTGGGAAGTCCCATAGCACATCACTTTTTAACATACTATTTTATATATTCTATTTTTCATTTGTTTACTGACTTATTTTCCTGTTTATTGTCTGCCTCCCCAAATAGAAAATGAACTCCATGAGAGCAGGGATAAGACTTTCCTATTCAGCACACCCCCTACATGGAAAGTCCTGGCACATGGGAAGCCTTCCTCATAAATACTATGGACTAAATGAGAGGCTGAAAAAATAGTTCACCTATGTGAGGGATAAAAGGACATAAAAATTTAAGAGAGATTAGTCCTCAGTGATGAAACTTAAAAAGTAAATAAATTTTGGCATACCTTTATGTTATCTACTTTCTCCCCACATATTCCCCACAAAATTCAACACCAACATTAAACTAGTTACTTACAGATTAGTAACATGAACACATGATGTATAAGACCTGCCGGACCTTGTAAAAATTCTTACAACAAAGAAGTATTTTACCAGTAATTTAGCTAAATAAAGATCCAGACAACAGGTGATTCCATGAGGTGAAACACACTAGGAAAAATATAAGAGGATATATCCAGGCTGCAGAATTATTTGTACTTATGTTCACACACAGTAATACTGCTCTTCAAGGGGTTTTCATTCCAACTAAGACACAATGGCTGGCAGAGCTGTCTTTTAATCAGAACCTAAGGAAAAAAAGGGTAGCAAATAGGTGAGCAATTCCCATTTCTCCCTTCATCTCTTCACTGATAGATGCTCAGCTTTTTCACTTCAGCCTAAATACCATTTGTTTCTTAGGTTCAGAACAAGGCAGAAGTCTCAGTTCATTAAGGACTTGCATTCGGTAGCTGGCAGAAATTCAGAAGCCAAATTATTCTAAAGTATCACGGTGTCCTGTGACAGACAAAGTAATCAGAACTTGTACGCTTAATAGTCAAACAGACATAGCCCAGTGTCACCTCAGAAGTCCCTGAACGCAGAGCTGGACTCTCCCCAGTGCCCTAGACCCACTCTGCATTTCTCACTGACAGTCCTCTGACGTTCCTCTTATCCTCATTAGTAGGTCATGAGCAAGATTGGCTCCCGACTTGGGGAAGCAAAGCAGGGAACATTGGGAAAGAGAACCGACATTGTTCTTCTTGCCACCAGAGCTGTAATGGCCAGAAGGGGCTCACAGAGGTCTCTGCCACTGAAATGCCCAGATTATTATTAGATCCTATGGTCCTTACGAAATCTGCTCATCATTATTGGGTGGCAGACTTTGTAAATATCAAAGATTCCTTGGAAATTGTTTAGAGTAACTACTGTATTACCCAGTCTTGTTACCTCTCACAGACATTGCATTCTACTGAGAGTACTAGACCCACATGAACAGTTAATAATACTTCCTGAAACAATAACATTGGCCATTATGATCCCAAAGACCAAGATATTACAGATGCAAAGATATATGATTGAATTAATTCTTATCCATACAGTATTACAAATTCCACTCTTGATTGGATTTTATTTTCCTGAAACAACCTTTGCCTGATCTATCACATTGCAAACAATTTTTGTCTTACATGTCAAGCCTTTTACTAGCAGATTTTCCTAGAAAGTTACATTTTCCTGCCTCCAAACAACTATTTCCCCATTTACTTCAAGTTCTAACCATGAATTCAAGATCACTGTCTATATTTATGTTTGTATTTGACACTGAATTACATATGCCATTTTCTCATCTCCTTCATAGTGATGCTCCTGAGTCGTGACACTTATTTCAAAACTGCCCAGCAGTTAGTCCTCCGGGTACTTCTATTCCATAGGTCAGCTTCCCTTTGTGGATTAACCCCTGAACCCAAGAGAGTCACTATCCATCACAGAGTCCCTGGTCTCTCTTTTAGGGTCCCTCAGTCCCTCATCACAAAAAAGCATGCTTTTATCACAAGTTGGAAATTAAGTGGAAAGAGCACACGTCCATTAGGGAGGGGGTTCAGGAAGTCAGCACAAGATTTCACTAGGAAAAAAACCACAGGAGTGAGATGTCCATGTGAGGGACAAAGAAATTGATCCTCAGACCAGATAAGAATATAGGCACCTGCACATCTGGGAGCTGCCAGGCTCCAGTCTCCCTGGGGTGTACAGGGCAGGGAAACAAGCCCCTCTGAGATCATATCTGGGCTCACAGCTGTAGAACACTTCCTGCCCAGCGGAAAAGTCATCCTTGTGGCTTGGGGCGTGCTTACCATGCAGGATTTCTGGTGGTGGTTGACAAACTGAGGAAAGAACAGCAAAGTACCTGTTAGTTACGAGGAAATATCTTCTGCTATATCCTGTGCTTGCCAGGGAGCTTAAAAATCCTACTTAGAGAGTGTGGATTTTAAAAGATGTGCTAGTTCAGTACCCACTTTTTACTGGTAAGCAAACTAAGGCCACAGGGCAGAGCTGTGAGTAGAATAAATGTTTCTTCAACGCCTTGTCTGTGTTTTTTCTACTAAAACATTCCTAAGACTACAAGCAGAATGTTCCTTTGCTCTCCAGGACTGGCCATCCAGTACAGAGCTGTGAGTGCTGGTGGCTAGTTCCATTCTTACACTTCCTAGAAAGCTCTCCTTTCTGGCCTCAACAAGGGATACCTTTGCCCAAGTGTCATCCAACAGACCCCTCACCTAGCTTACAGTACAGTTAGTCACCCATCCCCCTGCATCTTTTCTCCCAACTCCTCCTCCAGAACTATAAGCCTCTGCTTGGTCCCTATGTGCCAGCCTGGATTCTTCCCATTCCACTGCTAAGCCAGCCATTTCAGCATAAGAAGACGAGAGAAGCCGTCAAGAACAAAATCCCCATAAAAGTAAAAAGCTATAGACTTAGAGAATATATTGTGTGGAGCATATTGTGACTCAGATTTTGGCTGCCTCCATTCGCAGCCCAATTGGTGTGTTCTCAGGGCATCAGAACACATTTGAGCCTCAATCTGAACGATATACAATGTATTAAAAATGAATAAGAAGTAGGTTCTATTTCAAGATGGAAACATACAAAGTCCTGAACTCACCTCTTCCCATGGACACACTTGAGTCTACGGCTACGTATGGAACAATTTCCTCTTTAAACCTTTGAAGGCCTGGCTGAGTGAGAACTACACATTGTCCAAACAAGATGTAAATGACATCGAGGTGGGTAGCAGAACCTGGGAAACTATCTCACCATAAACCCTATCCCACCATGATGTCCCACAACCAGGAGGGAACTCTGAACCCAGAGATTCTCCCTGAAGAGCAAGGGTTTCAGACCCCGCACCAGACATTCTAACTTTGGGGACATACACTTGAGAGAGAAACCCCTAAACATCTGGCCTTGAAAACCAATGGGATCACTTCCCAAGACCCACAAGATGATAACGATCTGAGAGACCACTCTTAAAGGGCTCCTGCCCAGACTTGCCCACCCCAGGGCCCAGCTCAGAGGCAGCCAATAGTGCTCAGACATAAAGTGAAAGAGGCTCATCTGCTTAGATTAAAGCCTTGGCCTGAGGGAAGCATCTTATTTAACACACATTTGGAGCCTGCTCAAACACTTGGGGACATAGACTGGTGCATGCCATTTTCACGCTCTTCTATTGTCATGCTTCAGAGCACTGCTGTCTCCTGGAGGGGAACTTTTGCATGTGTCTAGTGCCCCAACTTTTTGTGGCTTCTTCCTAGTGGACACCTCTTTATCCATGGCTCTGGGTACCAGGGGACATTGTATTCCTGTTGCCATGATTCTTTAATAATTGGTGTCACCCAGAAAGGATCTCATACCACTCTCTGGTGCCCCAATTTTTTTTTTTTTTTGTGGTATGCGGGCCTCTCACTGTTGTGACCTCTCCCATTGCGGAGCACAGGTTCCGGATGCGCAGGCTCAGCGGCCATGGTGCACGGGCCCAGCCGCTCCATGGCATGCGGGATCTTCCTGGACCGGGGCACGAACCCGTGTCCCCTGCATCGGCAGGCGGACTCTCAACCACTGCGCCACCAGGGAAGCCCGCCCCAATTTTTTAGACTGCTGCCAGGGGGCACTTCTACATCACCTGGCTCTGGGGGCCAGTGGGTATCACAGGACTGTAACCAATGGAGAGAGAGTTTTTAAACAGCTATCATTCCCTGGGCATGGCAAGAGGAAACAGGCTCAGGAGCTTGGTTTTCCTGTGAAGGTTTTTAAACTGATCATCCTGACTGCAGCCTGAGGGGTGGGCTTCTGATTAGGCAGGATCTTGGGGCTCATTGTAATCTTTTCCAGAGAACTTAGAGGCTGGGCACTATCTTCATGGTCACCCTCTGCCACGCTCCAGTGCACCAGTGTCTCCTGGAGGGTAGCTTTATGTGTGACTGGTGCCATGGTTTTTGTCTAGAGCCCCAGTTTTTGTTGCTGCTTCCCAGGGGATGCCCCTTGATGGCCTGGCTCTGATGGCTGGGGGTCTTGCATCCTGGGTCCCACAGCACTGTGGCAACTGGAGAGATGGTTCTGGCAGGCTACCACTCCCAAGGCACTGCACAGACAGTGGATTGGGGCACACTCCCCAGACTTTCTGTGAAGAAGCCCTCTGTGCCTGTCCTGGAGCTCTGGTCTGAGGAACAGTCTTCAGGTTCGGCACACATTTAGTGGCCTATGGAGCTGCTCTCAGGGAATATAGGCTGTATACATCATCTTGGCGCTCCCCTTCTGCCTTGCTTCAGCTTGCCGGTATCACCCAGAACAGAGCTTATACATTCATCGGGAGCACCAATTTCTGTGACAGCTACTCAGGGGACACCTCCAGTTGGCCTGGCACTGGTGAACAGTGGAACTTATGCTTGCGGTACCACAGGACTGTATGTATTTGCATACTCTTAAAAGCTGATGCCTGACAGTCTGGTTTCCAGTCAGCCTGAATCTAGGTGCTAAGATCCTTCCCTTTGGGTCACTGACATGTCTTGGTACATCCTTAACTACTGAGAACTCTTCAAAATATAATAGATATTCTGGCCAAGCACAGAGTTTTGACAGACAATGAGGGGCTGAGGCAGAGTTGAACAAGGTTTATTTCCTACATGAAACTACTCCTTCAATACTGAAAGAGGTGGTTGTTTCATCTGCTGTTAAGAATCAAAACCGAGAGTCAAACAAAATGAAGAAACAGAGGAATATATTCAAATGAAAGAACAAGAGGAAACCTCAGGAAATAATGAAATTGAGGTAAGTTATTTACCTGATAAAGAATTCAAAGTAATGGTCATAAAGATGCTCACCAAGCTGGGGAGAAGAATGGATGAACCTATTGAGAACACAAACAAAGAGACGGAAAATACAAGAAAGTACAAAATAGAAGCCACAGAGCTAAAGAATACAATAACTGATCTGAAGACTACAATAGAAGGACTCAACCACAGACTGGATGAAGCAAAGAAAGAATCAGTGTGTTGGAAGACAGGGCAGTGGAACTCACTCAAACAGTGCAACAAAAAGAAAAAAGCATTTTAAAATGCTTTTCTTTTAGTCTTGCAAGAAATGTTAAAAGGAATTCTTCAAACTGAAAGAAAGGGAGCTAATTAGTAATAAGAACATGAATGAAAGGATAAATCTCATTGGAAAGGTAAATAAATAGTAAAGGTAGTGAGTTAACCACTTATAAATCTTGTATGAAGTTTAAGAGATAAAATTAGTAAAAACAACTATGATTACAACAATTACTCAAAGAATACTCAAGATAAGAAGACGTAAAATGTGCCATCAAAAACATAAATTGTGGGAGGAGAGAGTAAAAATGCTGAGTTTAACAATGGGATCAAACTTAAGTTGTTATCAGCTTATAATAAACTATTACAGAAATAAGTTGTTATACATAAGCTTCATGATAACCACAAAACAAACACCTATAGTAAATACACAAAAGATAGAGAGGAAATTTAAGGATACCACTAAAGAAAGTCATCAAACCACAAAGAAAGATATACCTGGGATAAAAGAGAGAGTGGTAAACAATAACTTAATTAAAAAAAATTTGTTTAAGATAAGTTTTTTAGAGCAGTTTAGGCTCAGAGCAAAATTGGAGGGAATGTTCAGAGATTCCTCATATACCTGCTGCCCCTCTAAAATAGTCTCCCCGATTATCAATATCCCTTACCAGGGAGTTACATTTGTTATAATTGATGAACCTACAATGACACATCATAATCACTCAAAGTTATAGTTTACATGAGGGTTCACTCTTGGTTTGCAAATTTTATGGGTTTTGACAAATATATAATGACATGTATCCATCATTATGGTACCATGCAGAGTACTTTCATTTCCCTAAAATTTCTCAGTGGTCTGCATATTAATCCCATCTCCTACCCAACCCCCGGCAATCACTGATGTTTTTATCGTCTCCATAGTTTTGCCTTTTCTAGAATTAATTTTTTTAACTATGAATGATTTTACTATGAATTTAAATAACAAATAAAAAGAATCAAATGACTTCCTAAAATACAGCTAATTAAAATACTATTCTTGTAATATTTGATAGTAATCAGACACGTTGTTTACATAGTTGAAACTTAGTTGTGTGTGATTGGGTTCTGTACATAATAATTATTTTGTGTAAAAACATCTATGTATTACTATGGTTTACATATTTATGATTTTAAGTGGATGATCTCTGAGATTTTACCATAGATTATTATTACTGCTGGACTATTTTTTTCTATTGATTATTTAATAACAGCAGGATAAATATACTACCTCTGGCACTACTCAAAAGAAAACAGAAAAAAATATAAAAGAGAAGCCATAAGAAATGAAATAATCAGAATCAGGGGTAATAAAATTATAATGAAAACTTTTCTATCATAACATAATAAATTTAAAATATTGGTATAACTTACTACATGTATGTTCACCTGAACATATGTAACCAAGGAGATGGGTTTAAGATGGCAGAGTAGAAGGACGTGAAGTCACTCCCTCTTGTGAAAACACTGGAATCACAACTAACTGCTGAACAATCATCAACAGGAAGACACTGGAACTCACCAGAAAAGATACCCCACATCCAAAGACAAAGGAGAAGGCAAAATGAGATGGTAGGAGGGGTGTAATCACAATAAAATCAAATCCCATAACCACTGGGTTGGTGACTCACAAACTGGAGAACAATTATACCACAGAAGTCTGGCGACTGGAGTGAAGTTTCTGAGCCCCATGTAAGACTTCACAACTTGGGGGTCCGGCAACAGGGGGAGGAATCCCCAGAGAATCAGACTTTGAATGCTAGTGGGATTTGATTGCAGGACTTTGACAGGACTGGGGGAAACAGAGACTCCACTCTTGGAGGGCACACACAAAGTAGTATGCTCATCAGGACCCAGGGGCAAGGAGCAGTGACCCCATAGGAGACTGAACGAGACCTACCTACTAGTGGTGGAGGGCTTCCTGCAGAGACAGGGGGTGGCTGTGACTCACTGCAGGGACAAGGACACGGGCAGCAGAAGTTCTGGGAAGTACACCTGGTCATGAGCCCTCCCAGAGTCAGCAATTAGCCTGACCAGAGAGCCTGTAGCCTCCAGTGCTGGGTCGTCTCAGGCCAAACAACCAACAGGAAGGGAACTCAGCCCCACCCATCAGCAGACAAGCAGATTAAAGTTTTACTGAGCTCTGCCCAACAGAGCAACACCCAGCTCTACCAACCACAAGTCCCTCCCAAGAGGAAGCTTGCACAAGCCTCTTAGATAACCTAATCCACCAGAGGGAAGAGAGCTGAAGCAGGAAGAACTACAATTCTGCAGCCTGTGGAACGAAAACCACATTCACAGAAAGATAGACAAAATGAAAATGCAGAGGGCTATGCACCAGATGAAGTAACAAGATAAAACCCCAGAAGAACAACTAAATGAACTGGAGATAGGAAACCATCCAGAAAAACAATTCAGAATAATGATAGTGGAGATGATCCAGGACCTCGGAAAAAGAACGGAGGCAAAGAGTGAGAAGATGCAAGAAATGTTTAGCAAAGACCTAGAAGAATTAAGGAAAAAAAAAACAGATGAACAATACAATAACGGAAATGAAAAATGTATGAGAAGGAATCAATACCAGAATAACTGAAGCAGAAGTATGGATAAGTGACCTGGAAGACAGAATGGTGGAATTCACTGCTGCAGAACAGAAAAAGAAAAAGAATGAAAAGAAATGAAGACAGCCTAAGAGACCTCTGGGACAACATTAAGCACAACAACATACACATAACGGGGGTCCCAGAAGGAGAAGAGAGAGAGAAAGGACCCAAGAGAATATTTGAAGAGATTATAGTCAAAAACTTCCATAACATGGGAAAGGAAATAGCCACCCAAGTCCAGGAAGTGCAGAGAGTCCCAGGCAGGATCCCAAGAAGAAACACACCAAGACACATAGTAATCAAATTAACAAAAATTAAAGACAAAGAAAAGTTATTAAAAGCAACAAGAGAAAAATGACAAATAACATACAAGGGAACTCCCATAAGGTTAACATGTGATTTCTCAGCACAATATCTACAAGACAGAAGGGAATGGCATGATACATTTAAAGTGAGGAAAGGGAAGAACAACCAAGATTACTCTACACGCCAAGGGTCTCATTCAGATTCGACAGAGAAATCAAAATCTTTACGGACAAGCAAAAGCTAAGAGAATTCAGCACTACCAAACCAGGTTTACCACAAATGCTAAAGGAAATTCTCTAGGCAGGAAACACAAGAGAAGGAAAAGACCTACAATAATAAACCCAAAACAATTAAGAAAATGGTAATAGAAACATACATATCGATAATTACCTTAAATGTAAATGGATTAAATGCTCCAACCTAAAGACATAGACTGGCTGAATGGATACAAAAGCAAAACCTGTATATATGCTGTGTACAAGAGACCCACTTCAGACCTAGGGACACATACAGACTGAAAGTGAGGGGATGGAAAAAGATATTCCATGCAAATGGAAATCAAAATAAAGCTGGAATAGCAATACTCATATCAGATAAAATAGACTTTAAAATAAAGAATGTTAAAAGAGACAAGGAAGGACACTACATAACGATGAAGGGATCAATCCAAGAAGAAGATAGAACAATTATAAATATATATGTACCCAACATAGGAGCACAACAATACATAAGGCAACTGCTAACAGCTCTAAAGTGGGAAATAGACAGTAACAGAATAACAGTGTGGGACTTTAACGACTTGCTAACACCAATGGACAGATCATCCAGACAGAAAATTAATAAGGAAACACAAGCTATAAATGACACAATAGACCAGATAGATTTAATTGATATTTATAGGACATTCTATCCAAAAACAGCAGATTACACTTTCTTCTCAAGTGTGCATGGAACATTCTCCAGGATAGATCACATCTTGGGTCACAGATCAAGCCTTGGTAAATTTAAGAAAATTGAAATCATATCAAGTATCTTTTCGGACCACAACGCTATGAGACTAGATATCAATTACAGGAAAAAATCTGTAAGAAATGCAAACACATGGAGGCTAAACAACACACTACTTAATAACCAAGAGATCAATGAAGAAATCAAATAGGAAATCAAAAAATGCCTAGAAACAAATGACAATGAAAACACAATGACCCAAAATATATGGGATGAAGCAAAAGCAGTTCTAAGAGGGAAGTTTATACCTATATAAGCCTACCCTAAGAAACAAGGAACATCTCAAATAAACAACCTAACCTTACACCTAAAGCAATTAGAGAAAGAAGAACAAAAAAACTCCAAAGTTAGCAGAAGGAAAGAAATCATAAAGATCAGATCAGAAATAAATGAAAGATTCAACCCCCATTTATGATAAAAACAATCTACAGAAAGTGGGCATAGAGGGAACCTACTTCAACATAATAAGGGCCATATACGGCAAACTCAGAGGAAACATCCTTCTCAATGGTGAAAAACTGAAAGCATTTCCTCTAAGATCAGGAAGAAGACAAGGATGTCCACTCTCACCATTATTATTCAACACAGTTTTGGAAGTCCTGGCCATGGCAATCAGAGAAGAAAAAGAAAAAAAAGGAATACAATTTGGAACATTAGAAGTAAAACTGTCACTGTTTGCAGATGACATACTATACATAGAGAATCCTAAAGATGCCACCAGAAAACTACTAGAGCTAATCAATGAAGTTGGTAAAGTTCCAGGTTACAGAATTAAAGCACAGAAATCTCTTGCATTCCTATACACTAATGATGAAATATCTGAAAGGGAAATTAAGGAAGCACTCCCATTTACCACTGCAACAAAAAGAATAAAATACCTAGGAATAAATCTACCTAAGGATGTAAAAGACTTGTACTCAGAAAACTATAAGACGCTGATGAAAGAAATCAAAGATGACACAAACAGATGGAGAGATATACCATGTTCTAGGACTGGAAAAATCAATATTGTGAAAATGACTATACTAACCAAAGGAATCTACAGATTCAATGCAATCCCTATCAAATTACCAATGGAATTTTTTAAAGAACTAAAACAAAAAATCTTAAAATTTGTATGGAGACACAAAAGACCCCGAATAGCTAAAGCGGTCTTGAGGGACTAAACGGAGCTGGAAGAATCAGACTCCCTGACTTCAATCTATACTACAAAGCTACAGTAATCAAGACAATATTGTTCTGGCACAAAAACAGAAATATAGATCAATGGAACAGGATGGAAAGCCCGGAGATAAACCCACGCACCTATGGTCAACTAATCTATGACAAAGGAGGCAAGGGTATACAATGTAGTAAAGACAGTCTCTTCAATAAGTGGTGCTAGGAAAACTGGACAGCTACATGTCAAAGAATGAAATTAGAACACTCCCTAACACCATACACAAAAATAAACTCAAAATGGATTAGAGACCTAAATGTAAGACCGGACACTATAAAACTCTTAGAGGGAAACATAGGAAGAAGACACTTTGACATGAATCATGGCAAGATCTTTTTTGATCCACCTCCTAAAGTAATGGAAATAAAAACTAAGATAAACAAATGGGACCTAATGAAACTTAAAAGCTTTTGCAAAGCAAAGGAAACTACAAACAAGACAAAAAGACAATCCTCAGAATGGGAGAAAATATTTGCAGATGAAACAACTGACAGAGGATTAATCTCCTCAATATATAAACTGCTCATGCAGCTCAATATTAAAAAAACAAACAACCAAATTCAAGAATGGGCAGAAGATCAAAATAGACATTTCTCCAAAGAAGACACACAGATGGCCACGAAGCACATGAAAAGCTGCTCAACATCACTAAGTATTTGAGAAATGCAAATCAAAACTACAGTGAGGTATCACCTCACACCAGTTAGAATGGGCATCATCACAAAATCTACAAACAGTACATGCTGGAGAGGGTGTGGAGAAAAGGGAATCCTCTTGCACAGTTGGTGGGAATGTAAATTGGTACAGCCACTATGGAGAACAGTATGGAGGTTCCTTTCAAAACTAAAAATAGAATTACCATATGACACAGCAATCTCACTACTGGGCATATACCCAGAGCAAACCCTAATTCAAAAAGACACATGCACCCCAATGTTCATTGCAGCACCATTTACAATAGCCATGTCATGGAAGCAACCTAAATTTCCATCAACAGATGAATGGATAAAGACATGGTACATATATACAATGGAATATTACTCAGCCATGAAAAGGAACGAAATTGGGTCATTTGTAGAGATGTGGATGGACCTAGAGACTTTCATACAGAGTGAAGTATGTCAGAAAGAGAAAAACAAGTATCGAATATTAATGCATATATGTGGAATCTAGAAAATTTTTACAGATGAACTGGTTTGCAAGGCAGAAATAGAGACATAGATGTGGAGAACAAACTCATGGACATCAGCAGGGAAAGTGGGAGTGGGGTGGTGGTGGTGGTGGTATGAACTGGGATTTTGGGATTGACATATATACACTAATATATATTATAAAGGTAAGTAATAAGAACCTGCTGTATACAAAAAATAAAATGCAAAAAAAGAAAATATGTAACCAATATTGACTCAGTTTAATGCTTATTGACCTATAAATGTAATAGAGGTAGAAACAGTTTTCTTTGAAGATAACTGCTTACAAAAGTTGCCAGACCGAGACATTTTTTTTTATAGTAAACTGATAATACCTTCCTAATTTGATTGTTTTTTTCAGACAATTTTAAATCTCTGGCAGATAAGAGCGGCACCTTTTATGACTTCTCCTTCATTTTTTTAATCTTTAATGTCAGCATTATTTTCTTTTTGTGAGTACTTGTGAACACAGTTAACACTTATGTTAGAATATTTATAAAATATGGACAAACAAAAAGAGGGAAATGATAGTGGTCCCAAAATAATGATTCTTAACAATTTAATGTGTATTTTTTTCAAATATGTATGTGTGCACATGCATGTATGTCTATGGATA